GCTTATTTTTTAAACCCGTCCCCTACCCCCCTTATCCCCTACCTACCTGCTTCTGCTTCTTACCCCCCCCCCCCGCCCTCCTCTTACAACTGGCCTGCTGAGCCCTCCCGCCCCCTCCCTTTCTCATAACAGCTGGAGATGAGTTGAGTTGAGCCCCACGCCTTTCTCCCTCCCTCTCTCCGTCTCGCCTCCCCTCCCTCCCTCCTTCTCTCTCTCTCTTCCGCCCTCCCTCCCTTCTTCCTCCCTCTCACTCTCCCTCCCTCCTTCCTTCTCTCTCTCTCTTCCGCCCTCCCTCCCTTTCTTCCTCCCTCCCTCTCACTCTCCCTCCCTCCTTCTTTCTCTCTCTTCCTTCCTCCCTCACTCCCTCCTTTCCTTCCTTCCTCCCTTCCTCCCTCTCTCCCTCCCTCCTTCTTTCTCTCTTCCTTCCTCCCTCACTCCTCCTTTCCTTCCTTCCTCCCTCCCTCCCTCTCTCCCTCCATTCCTCCTTCGCTTTCTTTCTCTCTCCATCCATCCCTCCCTCTCTCCTTCCTTCCTTCCTTCCCTTCCTCCCTAACCCCCTTCCTTCCTCCCTCCCCCCTTCCTTCTTCCCTTCCTCCCTCCCTTTCTTTCTCCCTCCCTCCATCCCTCCCTCTCTCCGTCCCTTCCTTCCTCCCTCTCTCCCTCTCCCCTCCATTGTAATTATTAAGGAGAAAGGGAAGGACAGAGAAAGTGAGAGTAGAAAGGAAAAGGGGGAAGAAGAGAGGGATAATGATAAGCTAATGATTAAAGAAAATGTTGAAAGAGAGCGAGAGAGAGAGAGAAATAATAATAGTGATGATTATAATGATGATGTTGATGATAATGATTATAACAATAATAATTCTAATAGTAGTAGTAATAATAATAATAATAATAGTGATAATTACATAATGATTATAATGATAATGATAATAATAATAATGATTATGATGATACTAGCAATAATAATGCTAATGATAATAATAATTATTATAACAATAATAACAATGATGATAGCAAGAAGAGACAACAAAAAACAACTCAGTGCTAACCACGCTTCCCCCCCCCCCTCCCCCCCCCAACAGCAAGTCGCCACGCCCACCGTGGTCAAGAAGATCCTGCGGCTGAAGCAGGAGACCCCGGGATGTTCGCCTGGGAGATCCGCGAGCAGCTGTCGGCGCAGCGCGTGTGCGACCCCGCCTCCCTCCCCTCCGTGTCCTCCATCAACAGGATCCTGAGGAACTCGGGCCTGTGGACGCCCCACGAGGCCGCCGCCGCCGCCGCCGCCGCTGCAGGAGCCGGCCAGGGGCGCTCCGGACACGCCGCCCTCGCTGTCTCGGCGGCGGCCACGGTGGAGGTGAGCACCGGGAGGAGGCTGGGGAGGTTGGGGATCTGGAGGACCGCGTACGGGGTTTTGTAGGATGCTGCAGGACTCTGAGGATTTTGGGGATTTGAGGATAATTTTGAGGATTTTGAGAATTATGAAGAATTTGAAGATTTTGAGAATCTTGAGAAATTGAGACTGAGGATTCAGAGAGGGAGAAGGGATTGGAGGATGAGGGGAATTGTGAGGATTGTGCGTTGGAGGTGAGGAGTGTGTGTTTGTGGGTGCTGGCGGTGGTGAAGACATGTTGGAGATGTGAGAGGAAAGGGTGATGGGGGTTGTTGGAGGAAGGAGGGGAGGGTAGTGGGGGTTGTGATGATTGGGTGTTGGAGGTGATGAGTGGAAGGTGAAGGGCGTTTGTGGAGATGTGGAAGGAGGAGGGATGATGGGAGGGGTGTTGGAGGGGATGGGATGGTGGGATAGGGTGTTGGAGGAACGATGGGGGAGGTGGATGTTGAAGGTTGTTGGGGATTGGGTGTTGGAGGTGAGGAATGAGCGGGAGTGTTGGAGAGGAGGACGGGAGGGGTTTTTGATTCGTTGTTGGAGGAAATGAGGGAGGGAGATTATCGTTGGAGGCCGCTGGACGCCGGAGGGCGAGGCGCGGAGGACACGCTGGAGATGGAGAGAAAGTGCTTGAGATGAAAGGGTTCGATTTCGTGGGGGATCCTCTGGTGGCGATTGCTGGAGACAGATTTTGCTTCCATTCGGTATTGAAAAAAACACTTAATCTGATAGAAATGTAACTGAATCTTCTCGTGTCTGGGGAAATAATACTTCATTAATTGGAGACTGTTGGAAATGGAAGTTCATCTAATTGCAAAATATCGGCGGTTAATTATCATTTAGACGAATGACCTTTTGATCGAGTGGATGCAATTACCGGGTTGGTGATGATAGATCGATGGCAATTGACAGGTTGGTGACAGCTAATGAGCGAGAGATATTTACTTGACGATCGTTTGGTGATGATGATTACGTGACGATCGCCATTGGTGAAGATAACTACTGACAGGCTAATGACCTCTTGACCCCATGCACTTTTACATTTCCGTTGTTCTTTCAAGTTACAATATTTCCTTTATCTGTTTTTATGTTTCTTTTATTTCAGTTCATTTTTCCTTTATTTCAATTCATCTCTATTTTCACTTCAGTTTAATCAAATGATGTTCATGATAGTATGACAGAAATAGTAATAATTACAATAATAATGATACTGCAATTACGAAGGAAGAGGAAGGTACTTACAGTGTTAATTGGCATATAAATCGTTTTTTATTCTTATTAGCAACGTAGGGAACATATAGATAAAAGACAAAGATTACTATACTCTATTTATTTCGATTTGCTATTGCATATTCCCTCATTTTCTTAATTTACTCAATGTTCATAATAATTCGAAACCAAACTTCTAAAATTTATCTTATCTCTCCATCGGACATTTCTTGGTCTTGTTCATTCGCGTTCATAATCATCCGATGGCAACTTCTAAAATGCTGTATTTTGATTTTCAATTTGATTTTTTTTTCAATTTCATTCATGTTGAATTAATAATTCGAAACCAAACTTCTCAAAATACTTTTAAAAAATTCTATTGGACATTTCTTGATTTTAATTTCATTCATGTTAGATTAATAATTCGAAGCCAAACTTTTATTCTGTTTAAGACATTCCTTCATCTTCTCAACTTCACTTATGTTAGAATAAAAATTCGGAACCAAATATACTATGCTTTGATTTTCTAATTAATATTTCTTTCTTTTTTCAATTTCTTTTATGTTACTAGTAATTCGAAACCGAATTTCTAAAAAATACTTCATTTTGATTTTCTATTGAATATTTCAGTTCATATTTCCTATTTCTTCCTTTCCTCAATTTCATTCATGTTAACCTAAGAATTCGGAACCGAAGTCCTAAAAATCCTCGCCTTCTGCCTCCGTCCTCCCCTTCCGCAGACACGCGGCTCCTCGCCTTCCGAGATCCATTTCAATCAGCATCTCGTCACTGGAACTAAAAATCAATCGTGTGCGCGAACTTTCAAAAACAAAAGAAATGCAAATGGCGTCGCGCGGGAAAACAAAAGACGGTCGCCGTTATCTGCATCTAAATTCGAATGCGTTTCACTGGCTTTGGTTCGTTTTTCATCAACCGCGCGGCCAAGGAAGGGATCCGAATGCTGTTGTTGATGTTGTTGTTATGGGTGATATATTTTAATTTCTGAGGCATGGGACTTTGTTTAGAAAAAATAGTGACAGAAAAATAAAACTATGACATAGATGTTCAGGGGAAATAAGAAAGAGATATTTCGAAGAGACAAAACGGAAGAAGACCCCGAAAAAAACAAAGGAATGCAATAAAGTCGTCAGTGAAAGGATTGAGACGCGTCCGACCATCCCAGAATGTCACAGGCCAGTTATCTACAGCTTAAATATCTCATTATCCTCAATGCTTTTCTCGATTAATTAAGAATTCTAGCCTCCGCCGGAAATTAAAAGAAAGGGAAGACGCGCCGGATTTAAAAGTTGACGACACTCCACGTGAGAAAAAAAAGAAAAGAAAAGAAAAAAAGAAAGAAAAAAGTTTTGATGCGATCACTGAGACGGAACTTGAGGAATCGAAATTTGGTTCGTTAATGATCTTAATTATGGCTCTCGGTTGGATCTTAATTATACTTAATCGTGATCTGTCGGTAGTGAATAGCGACATCTTCTCGATAAACTTGATTTGATTTCGACGCATCTTCCCTATGGTTTGTCGCTAAGGATACTGACAGCGGCGGTGACAGCATCTGCAACTCTGACGGGATAAAGCACTGGGATTGCGATGTTGATTACGATGATAAGGATGAGAAAAGGTAAACGATGATAATAATGACGGTAGTAATTATGATTACGACGATAAGAATAAAAAGGCCATACTGATTATGATAATGATAAAAATAGCCGCGGTTGAAGTGATAATGACAATAATAACAGCAATAACAACGAAACGGAAATAATTATAATGACGGGAATAATATGATAGTGATAATGATATAATAGTGATAATAATGACAATAATAATAATGATAATGGAAATAAAAATAGTAACTATAATGATAGAAATAATGGTAACAATGATAAGAACAATAATGATGATGATAATGATAATAGTTATAAGGAATAATGATTATCGTTATCAGAGTAATATGAGTGATAATAAAGACCATGCTAATGATAACAGCAATAACGGTGACAATAATACTGATAACAGCAATGATAAGGATACTGATATAATCATGATGATGATCATGTTAATATAAATAATGATGATTAGGTTAGCTGTGATAATGATGAACATGGTGATAGATATCACTGTCAAGATAATGATCCTAAAAATCGTAGACAAATGTGATAATGATATCTGCTATAGTGATAATAAAATGATGATAAACAACCAAAAAACTATGATAATGATAATGACGGTCATAATTATTTTTATTATAATAAGCAATGATAATGAATGCAAAAGTAGTGATGATCATCATTATTATCAAAATTATTATTATCATTATATTCCTTATTGCTATTATTAGTAGTGCAATTGATATCTTTATTTCTATTATGGACATTGAAATTGCCTTTATCATTATCATCATTACTATTGCCATTACCATCGTTATTGTTATCGTTGCTATCATTATCATTGTTATTATTATTATTATCATTATGGCAAGGGTTATAGAAGCAGATTCGTTTCTGCTCGAGATTTTTCTCTCTTGGAGGCACGGGTCCGGGTCCCGATCCTAACCTAACCTATCCTATCCTATCCTATCCTATCCTATCCTATACTAACCTAACCTAACCAACCTAACCTAACAAACCTAACCTAATCTAACCCAACCCCTAACCTAACCTAACCTATCCTATCCTAACCTAACCTAACTTAACCTATCCTAACCTAACCTAACCTAACCTAACCTAAACTAACTTAACCTAACCTAACTTCACTTCACTTCACTTAACTTAATTTAACTTAACTTAACTTAACCTAACCTAACCAACCTAACCTAACCTAACCTAATGTAACCTAACCTAATCTAACCTAACCTAACTTAACCTAACCTATCCTAACCTATCTAACTAACCTAACCTAACCTAACCTAATAACCTAACCTAACCTATCCTATCCTAACCTAACCTAAACCTAACCTAACCTAACTTAACCTAACCTAACCTAACTTAACTTAACTTAACCTAACCTAACCAAACCTAACCTAACCTAACCTAATCTAACCTAACCTAACCTTAACCTAACCTATCCTAACCTAACTTAACCTAACCTATCCTAACCTAACCTAACCTAATCTATCCTATCCTAACCTAACCTATCCTAACATATCCTATCCTAACCTAACTTAACTTAACTTAACTTAACTTAACTTAACTTAACTTAACTTAACTTAACTTAACTTAACTTAACTTAACTTAACCTAACCTAACCTAACCTAACTAATCCTAACCTAACCTATCCTATCCTAACCTAACCTAACTTAACCTAACCTAACCTAACCAACCTAACCTAACCTAACCTAACCTAACCTATCCTAACCTATCCTATCCTATCCTAACCTAACCTAACCTAACTTAACCTAACCTAACCTAACCTAAACCTAACCTAACCTAACCTAACCTTAACCTAACCTATCCTAACCTAACCTAAACCTTAACCAACCTAACCTAACCTAACCTAACCAACCTAACCTAACCTAAACCTAACCTAACTTAACCTAACCTAACCTAACCAACCTAACCTAACCAACTTAACCCAACCAACCTAACCTAACCTAACCTAACCTAACAACCTAACCCTAACCTAACCTAACCTAACCTAACTAACCTAACCTAACCTAACCTAACTAACCTAACCTAACCAACCTAACCTAACCTAATCTAAAACCTAAACCTAACCTAACCTATCCTAACCTAACCTAAACCAACCTTAACCTAACCAACCTAACCTAACCTAACCTAACCTAACCAACCTAACCTAACCTAACCTAACCTAACCTAACCAAACCTAACCTAACTAACCTAACTAACCTAACCTAACTAACCTAACCTAACCTAACCTAACCTAACCCTAACCTAACCTAACCCTAACCTAACCTAACCTAATCCTAACCTAACCTAACCTAACTAACCAACCTAACTAACTAACTAACCTAAACCTATCCTACCTAACCTAACCTAACCTAACCTAAACCAAACCTAACCTAACCTAACCTAACTAACCTAACCTAACCTAACCTAACCTAACCTAACCTAACCCTAACCAACCTAACCAACCTAACCTAACCTAACCTAACCTAACCTAACCAACCTAACCTAACCTAACCTAAAACCTAACCTAACCAACCTAACCTAACTTAAACCTAACCTAACTAAACCAAACCTAACCTAACCTAACCTAACCTAACCTAACCTAACCTAACCAACCTAACCTAACCTAACCTAACCTAACCTAACCTAACCAACCTAAACCTAACCTAACCTAACCTAACCTAACCTAACCAAACCTAACCTAACCTAACCTAACCTAACCTAACCTAACCTAAAACCTAACCTAACCTAACCTAACCTAACTAATAACCTAACCTAACCAACCTAACTAACCTAACCCAACCCTAACCTAACCTAACCTAATCAACCTAACCTAACCTAACCAACCTAACCTAACCTAACCAACCTGAACCTAACCTAACCTAACCTAACCTAACCAACCTAACCTAACCCTAACCTAACCTAACCTAACTAACCAAACCTAACCTAACCTAACCTAACCTAACCTAACCTAACCTAAAAACCTAACCTAACCTAACCTAAAACCTAACCTAACCTAACCACCTAACCTAACCTAACCAACCTAACCTAACCTAACCTAACCTAACCTAACTAACCTAAACCTAACCTAACCTAACCAACCTAACCTAACCAACCTAACCTAACCAAACTAACCTAACCAACCTAACCTAACCTAACCTAACCTAACCTAACCCTAACCTAACCTAACCTAACCCTAACCTAACCTAACCTAACCTAACCTAACCAACCTAACCTAAACCAACCTAACCTAACCTAACCTAAACCTAACCTTAATAACCCTAACCTAAAACCTAACCTAACCTAACCTAACCTAACCTAACCTAACCTAACCTAACCTAACCTAAACCAACCTAACCTAACCTAACCTAACCTAACCTAACTAACCTAACCTAAACCTAACCTAACCTAACCCTAACCTAACCTAACCTAACCTAACCTAACTAACCTAACCTAACCTAACCTAACCTAAACCTAACCTAACCAACCTAACCAACCTAACCTAACCTAACCAACCTAACCTAACCTAACCAACCTAACCTAACCTAACCAACCTAACCTAACCTAACCAACCTAACCTAACCTAACCAATCTAACCTAACCAACCAAACCTAACCTAACCTAACCTAACCTAACCTAACCTAACCTAATCTAATCACTTCGGGTCATCTTCGTCAGTATTCGGCCGCGTTCGCCAACCTCGCCCTCGATTCGAGGAAGTGCTCCGGCTGTCCCTCCTGCAGACGATTTCCTGCAGCGGGAACCGGATCCGTTTCGACAAGATGACTTTCGGGCGAAGCGGCGCGGGGTTTTTCCGTTTCTATATTTTTTTCCGTTTCGTATCATTATTATTATTATTATCGTTTTTATTATTATTACTATTATCATTATTATTATTATTATTATTAATCATTAACATTGTTATTATCATTATTATAATTATCATTACTATTACTATTATTACAATTTTTGTTATTGTTATTGTGATATTATTATTTTTACTATTATGATTATTATAACCATCATTATTGATATTGTCATTATCATTTTAATTTTCATTGTTATTGTTATTCAGTTTTTAATTATGAACTTTATCATCATTATTATCATTTTTTGTAAAATTATCATTATGCATATTTTCAAAATTATCATT